AGTAAATCTTGGATTAAAGGAAAAATGCCGGTTCCGCCTAAGTTTACACAGGACTGTGTTCCCATTTGTTTTATCTCTGTGAAGCCCGTTCCAGTTGACCTATCTTACTTGATTTTTAGATACTGATGTTACTTCCTATTCTCTCCAGTCACCAACAGATTGAATCTCTGTGTTTGAATTCACCTGTTTTTAATTCAAGAATATGTAGCTCTAATTCTAAAAAAAAAATCTCCATTGTTTTCATTGTAAAGAATTTAATTTGGCTTTTTTTTTCCCCTGATATGTGTCTTTATTTGGTCTAGTGTTTTATTTAACTTATGGCTCATTTTAATGATGTCAGTTATAAATAACCTGTGGTGGAATATTTTAGAGGATTCATCTGCGCTATGTTCGGATGATCATTAGTTGCCAGCCGGGGCATTCAGGATGATAGGATAACTGAGGTGGGAAGCGACCACAGGAGGGCTCTGGTCCAAACTCCTGCTCAATGCAGGATCCGCCATGAGCTCAGGCCAGGTCTTTGTCCACCCTGAGCATCTCTTGTTTCAGTTTACCCCCACTGCCTCTTGCCCTCCCACCATGCACCAACATGAAGAGCCTGGCTCCATCTCCTCCATAGCCTCCTCGCGGGCGCTGGCAGGTTGCTGGCAGGTGCCCAAATCCATCCCCTTCCCAGGCTGAGCAAGCCCCCTTCCCTCAGCCTCTCCTCACGGGGCTCCAGCCCCTGACCAACCCGACCATTGGTGTCTTTCTTGTATGGAGGGCCCCAAAACTGGCTGCAGCATGCTCAATATGGTCCAGAAAATAGTAAATGTTTTACTAATATTTCAGTGACCAGAATGAGATGTATAGGCTCAGAAGAGGAACAGTTACCAGCTGAAGGAAATTTAAGGGCATGAGAGGAGAAAGGGCCCAAAGATACCATTTTTGAGAGTAACAGAGTTCAGTGCAGTATTTCCTGGGGAACTTTTTGTAAATGGCTGCATATAATGCCCTTATGCCCTTATTATTTGTCTTGAGACTTCAGTCCCAACGCATCTCAGTGCAGTGCCTTCCTCTCATCATCACATTCATCCAAACACAGCTCTCTCTCATGGAAGTACACTAGGGACACACGGTTTGAGAGGATTAATCCCATTTCCTTGGTATATAGAACTTGTGAGTCATTGCCACTACTTGTTTGAGCAGCATTAAGTGTAAGCATCTTAGTTGTATCTATACACCCACACTGAAGTTTTTATATAAGATTCAAATGTGCCTGATTAACATAAGAAAACCCAGTGCGTATTTGTAGAGCAGGTGCAAGCAATGTCTCATCTCTTTCTGAACAAAAGCTTAATACATTCCCACAAGTGACTTAATCCAACCTTATCGCTAAAAATTATATGATTGTAAATGGATATAAATGAAAGTTAAAAAGCTTCAAGTAATACACTGTAATTATTATTTAATATTCAAACGGGGCAGGAAGTTTTAAAAAAGAAATGTTACACCACTAACTACCAGTAACTAATTTGCACACACTGCATTAATTTTAAGAATTAATTATGCTGTAAAACTTAAGCTTAAGCACATATGTCACGTGCAATGTAGGAGTGTGATGTAACAAGATCTGCTGCTCATGTTTTGACTTGTAGATTTAAAATCTAAGTGAATTGAAAGTAAATGTAAACCCAGAGGATTTAAGTTTTATGATTTGGAACCCCATTGAACAGGGAAAATAGCAACTTGGTAGAATATGAATGATACTAGTAGTCCCAAATTAATTTTATGAATTTTATTACCTCAGTTAAAATTTGTTCAAGTATATACACAGTGGTGGCCCTGGTGGTCACAAGAGAAGGCTGGACACTTGATGGGGCTGCAAGAAGGCTACCGAGGACTGCTAATTATTAATGACCAGCTGCTCTTTTTAACAGGCTTATGGAGAGCAGGAAGGTGCAGTCATAGTCATCGGTATTGCTGAGCTGCTATTTATTGTACTTTTACTAAGAGGAGGTTGAAGAAACTTTTTCTGGTAACCTGGGTTTGTTAATCTTTAAGTATGTTGGCTGAGCATTTATACACTTTTGCATGCCTGTCTGGAAGACAGGAATTGCATTTCAGTTTTTCAATGGGAATGCTTGGTTCAGCTGAATTTTTCTCTGTTTTGTTGATTGGTGTTTTTTTTTTTCTCTTCTCCTTAGAAACAAAGCCTGCAAATTTTAAAATTCTTTCCAAAAGAAATTTTTAGTTAGACAGACCTGATTTCTGGAAGGGTTGGATAGAGCTAGGCATTCTAACATGAGCTAGTTCTCTCAAGGTTTCGCTAGCTCTTCTTTTTTGCCGCAATTGTTCCAAGACAGTCTTGGGCATTTGTGAATCTAGGAAGAATTTTGGTAGCATTTCAGACAATGTCTCAGGTTTGCAAACTGGCATAGTTTTTCAGAAGCAAAGAAAAGCTATGAAAAAGCTGTGAAAAGGTACTCCAGCCAGCCTTTGAGCAGATACAAAATCGTGCTGAAGCTTATCCTCTTTTTCATGTGTAACGCAATATGCATATGTGCACAAATATGTAAAAGCCTGTCTAATCTAAAACATGTAATTTAGATGTGGGTTTATTCATAAGGTTTTCTTAATATGACAGGAGCTAGTTATGCTGATTCATCTGGTCTTTAAACCATCTAGGCATTAACATCTAAGTATGCTTACAGTCCACACAGAATCTGTTAGGTAAGAAAGTGGGTCATTCTTATTTGGTTGCTAAAGTGAAGCAGTGATTATAGGGCAAAAAGGCCAAGTGTGTAAGGCACTCGCTAGAGATTTTAAAACCCAAAGGGTTTTAAACCCCTAAAGGGTTAGTCGGTGGATTGTAATTTATAAAGATGTACACAACGTTGGCTTACTTTGAATAATAATAATAATAACTGAAGATTCCTTGTTCTCAGCTGCCAGAGCAACCTGAGGATTCCCCACATACCAGAAATCTTCTGAGTAAGGTAGAATTGATTATCTAATTTTCTTCTGCCATGTTTTCTGCTGAAGAAATAGGAAGAACTGGTATACTGTTAAGCTCACCTTCCCAATATGTTTTCTGTAGCAGGAAGCAACTTTGATTTAAGAAGCAGTACCTCAGCTTAAGAAACAAGCAAACAAACTTCACAAAAACTAAACAAATGAAAAGCATGACCTTTTTGCCTGCTCACATTAAATGTTAGCTCCAGCAGTGGTTAAGCTCTGTTAACACATTGCCCAGGAAAATTGTAGAACCTCCATCTTTGAAAATTTTCAAAACTTGACTGGACGAGGCCCTGAGCAACCTGATATAACTTTTAAGTTAGTGGTGCTTTGATCAGGAGGTTGAATTAAATTACACCCAGCCATCCCTTCAGCAGGAATCTCTCCATTAGAAGCAAAATTATTCACATATATTCATTTTTTGAATTGTGGAAACAGGTAAAAATCCATTCAAATGTGGCTTAGAAGAGCTTGTTTTCTTAAGCACAGACAACAGTTCTGCAGGGGCTTTCTATCAAGTTTTTTTGAAAAATACATTTTTAAGTTCTTTCAGAAAGAACCATTGAAAAACATTAGCAGCACAGACTGGTAATTCAGAGAGGTGCTCTTCAACGGCAATCAAGTATCAGTGTTACAAACATACTTCAGCGGGTATCTGCTGCCCCCTTCAGACCATTCCTAGTGCTAGAGAAAAAGAATTATTTAGTCGGACATTAACAGCATCCTATTCTTTTGTACTAGCGTTTGAGTGAGAAGAGGGGAAGAACCCCAAGAAGAAAGATATTGTGAATTAGATAGCTGGTGAACGTTTTTGTATATCAGCAAAGGATATTTTTCGTGTTAGAAATGCACAGTAATACAATTATCCTAATAATTATCCATACTTCAAGTTATATCTTTAGCTGTTAGACTGAATAGTCACAACTGAGAAAAAAAAAATAAAATCTTAAAGCAAGGGCTGAACACTGGGCCGTGGAAAACCTGGAAATCAAATCAAGCGTCCAGAGTGCATTTATATAGTTTTGGTTACGTGATTCCAACTCTGTGACTCAGCTCCTCATCTACAAAACTAATTATGCCCTCTCTCTGCTTTTATCTTCCTTTCACTTCAGAAAAAGCTTTTGTAGCACTATCAAGGCCAGACTGACAGAAGGTCTTCCCTACTTAGTCAGCAGATGGGGGATAACACAACTAGATTTTATATGCCTAAATAGACCTGTGTGTATATGCAGTGTTGTGTACATACATGTATGTATCTGTGTGTACGTATGTGTGTTCAACAGCTCCCTAATCTCAGCTGAAATTAAGTACTCCCTTTAAAAAGAAAAAACAACAGCTTGGTGAAAAGGTAGTCCCAGTTAGTATGCTAACAAGGACAACTGTAGATAAAGAATCCAATCATATAATAAAGTTAATATTTTGTGTTTAGGATGTAATGAGGTACATTTTTTCAGCTTGCCTGAGAAGTTTGTTTGTTTTTTTTTTTCAAATAGATGAAAAGAGAACATTTAAAAGATTTTTTTTATGCATTAAGAGTTCTTTCTGTAGGGAGAGAAAGAAATTATGTTTCCGAAAACTGACTTTGTATCCATCTCCCATTATCCCAAGCTGCTGCAATAACAGCAAATGTAATACCAGGCTTTCATATAGTGATATTGCTTTATTATTTCTTCACGCACAATTTAAGCAAAATGGTTAAGGAAGAACAGCGATACAGCTTTGATGATGCACTTCATTCCATATACCTCATAACGTAAAGGTTCCCAAAGAACAAAACTTACATTTTTTTTTAAAGAGGAAAGAATGTATCAGTATTTTTTCAAAACTGAAACTGTTATTTTCTACTTTGATGAATCTGAATTTTCAAAGCTTCTGATTGAATCTTTCGAATACACACAATGTATTCTATTTGCTGTCCTGCCTGTACTCATTTTGCTAATAGTAAAAAAAAAAAAAAGAAAAAAGTTTCCATTTCTCACACCCACAGATTCTCAGCACACCAGGGAAAAACTCTGTATCATCCTTGAAGTCAAATCACTCAGATGTGACAGAACACTCCTCCTGCTCACAGGTGTATTATACATCCGTTGAAATGTAGTGCAGTACATCACTGAGGTATGTTGAATTTTGTCTTTGACCATTTGCTGCTTTTTTGTTTTGGGTTCTTTTTAACCCTATAAATTTGGGTTTATCATCCCCATTCCTTGGCACTCAATGATGTAGGTATCTTTACTGGGATCTTCCTCTGCCGATTTTGTCACAGTAAATTTGGCCTAAAACAGGATTAGAAATATATCACTAATTAAGTTATAACACACAAGTTTAAATGTTCAATATCTGATGTCCAATAATCTTATTGCCATGTGTTTATTATAGCTTTGACTGATTTAATGAAAATACATTTAAATAAAGGTGGTAAAAATATCTAACCGTTCTAAAAGCATTTAACTCTAAAGCACGTTCACTTTTTACAGGTAAACTCCCATCTAAATACTGTAGCAATTATTTTGTCAGTGCTTGTCCTCGGTGATCAAGTTCAGTTCACAATGCCTGCTAAACTGCACACTTCCCAGTTATTGGATGACAACTGACAGGTAAAATTTCCTGAATTTCCTGACTCACCTTTGTTAGCTGCTCTGCAAAGTGTATCGCCGTTTGAGTGTGAAGCGTAATTGGTCCACTTTTCACTCTAGATACCCCCTTTGCTAGTGCCATAAAAATGATCAGCTGAAAGGGAGGGAAAGGTAATTATTAAGCAACTCTACAGATCCTAGGAACTTACTGATTACAAAAAGAAAGAAGGAAAAACATATAAAATGTCTGTAAGTGTAAAAATGTGGTCTGCCAAGTTTCATAAAAGTTCATGGTGCTGAGTGTTAAGAGTGATCCAAGGCTCACAAAGCCTGGAACTTACTGCTGTAATGCCTATTACAGAAGGGCTGCTGCTTTTCCACAGTGGAGTCTGGCAGTGAATTTCTGTTACTACGCTTAACTTTGGTCTCCTTCATGCTCCTGCCCTGCAATTCCCCAAAGTCATGTCAGACTCCAGATTGCTAGATTACTTTTGTCTGGAGAGAAAAACTCAGGAAGGGTTTTCTAATTATAACATTTTCTGATCACATATTTGCCAGACAGATACTTAGAACAGCTGATTTGACTTACAAACATCACCATGACAAGTACTCCGTAAAGCATTGTGTAATTCTGAGTAGTTCCCATACACACTGAATCTAGCTGTGGCATGTTTCCACCAATTGTACTGTGCATGCTTTGGAAAAAGAAGAATGAGTCCAAAACCTAAATACTTCCTTTTATGCCACATAATAATAGTAATGTGTGGCCAGGTGTCTACAGCTAAGAAGTAGTGTCATCCTATCTAGAACAGCCCAAGATTCTTATCAGGCTGAGTTATCAAAAGTAAGATAGTGGATGGTGGAAGGTCTTAATTCTCAAATGAAATTAGGCGAGCAAGACAAACAGGAACACCTTCTAGATATTCTGTTCTCTAATAGCTTCACTGAGTATTCTTAATATGTAACCAGGGAGTTATTTTACTCCACTACATGGAGTGCCAAACAGAAGCAAATTCCTCCCTCTTTCTTCCATACCTACCAAGATTTGCAGGAAGGGAAAATTTAAGAGTGTTGATGCAAAGCCAGAAGCATCTGTGGTTCCTAAGAACTGTATGTAACTTCCTAATCCTAGGGATGTAACCACACCCAGAAACCTCCTAAAACTTCTAATTATCAACTAATTATGTAAAGCCATGCCTACCTGTGGAGATACAGTCCAACTTTGAAATCCACATCTCATTCTTTCCCTGTTCAGATTTATATTCTTTACAAGTAATACATACATGCATGTTCTTGCTACTTCAACTTCATGTAAGCCCATACAGCAGCCTTACTTGGTCTTGCAGAGAATCATCCACAGTTCCACCATGTTTAAGATTCCTAAGCAGTATCTCAGCTGCTTCAATGCCAACCTTGTCAGAATTCTTTCCTAAAAGAGAAATCCAGGAGATTAGGATGCTGCCAATTATTTAACATTTTAAAAATACAGAAGGAAAAAAACCATGAAATTATCAACTTTTTAAACCTTATTTCCATGCTCTTGCCTCAAATGTCAGCTTAAAAAACCCCTCCCATCTTATGACATATAGTTCATATTCCCTAAGCAGTGCGAAGCAAGTAGCCCCGCTTACAGTCAGAGAAACATTTTATTCAAACCAAAATCATGTCTATTCCTTTTAATCTAGATACACATCTAGATTCAGTGCTGAACAAAAACTTCACAGATAAACCACAAAGACTGTATGTTCTTAAAATCCAGAAGCAGTTTCAACTCAGTGATCCTTAACAATCAATCCATTCTGATAAAAGGTAAGTTTAATAATTTTGTAATTTTTGTCACTAGGCCGAAGTAGCTTAGAAGTATAACATTCTATTTAGGATGTTTAAAATCTGCTTATTTCCACTGTCCTTTATGACTAAACAACATCCATTTAAAAATGCAACACTCAAGCATCATATCTTTGAACAAATTATACTTCAGATTCATAGTTGTTAACAGTATATTAAGTTAAATTTGAAAGAGGTATACTTCATACAACTCTTACCTCTCTTGCCAAGTGATGACCCAGCTAACAAACAACCCGTTGAAGTCTCTGCAACAACACTAAGCAAAAAAAACCAGAATCAATATGAAGAACAAAATCACTCACATTACACTTTATTTATCAGATATGTAATCAAGATCTAGCTAATCAACCAGCAAGGTTACAGGTATCAATAAAAAGTTTGGGCTCATCTTACATTATTCCACTTCCAGTCCCGAAGGCTTGATCATCAGGTTCTCGAACAGGCTGAATGTTAATGTAAAGATCTCTGATTTCTTTTCTGATGCATCTCACAGCTGCTGCTGACATGTCTTTTGCCAGCTAGCAAGGCAAGAGGTACAAAACATTAACTAAATTATGTAACTATAGTAATACTTTTTTCTCATAAGTTTAACTATTACATTGAATTCCTGAATAAAGGGGCTACTTTATCAACCAGAAAACCAAGATTGTTACAAAACCCCTACAAGCAAGCACTGAACATCATCCCTTCTGAGAATTTTCCCACAAAATTAAGGTAATATTAAATGCTGAACAAATGACAATTGTAGTGATATATGTAGAAGCCTCAATAGAAATTCAAGAACTTTTCTCCATTCATAGGGAGAAAGATTTGATTTAGTGTTAGTTATCTTAAGACATTAGATTGTAAACCTCCCCCTAGTTATTATGTACAGGATGTACTCTATAAGATATAACTATATCTTATAGATATAGTTATATCTTATAAAGATATATGTCTGTGATTTTAAATCACAGATAGGTGGGGGCAGATGAAGCTTATCCCATCCTTGTGACCCAGTCATAGTCAATATTAATGGGTTTGGAGATTTTGAGACCAAAACCAGCAGTTCACAGCTCTTCAAAAAGTAACTCAGTTTCTCCTCTTCCTTTCTCTACTAATTCCTAGCCTATGTGTGAGAAGGAACCTTGAGGACACCCCACCACTCGCTCTCTGTAAACACAGACAGGATAGGAATAAGGGAAAGAAGGGGGTACAATGGAGCACATTTCTCTGTTTTATCTTTGGCTAAACCTACCCTTAACTTGTTCTGCCTAATACCCTTAGCAATGGTTGAAAAATTTGATGTAGTCTGACTTCTGCCTTTTACAGTGCACCATAGTTTACCCATAAATCTATGAATGAGGGCCGTGATTTCAGATTTACAATAATCTAACAATATGTAAAACAGATATAAGATACCCTCAATATATGCTAAAGACTTTTGAACAGTCATTTGAAGGAGATCAAGGATACCATTCTCATTTCCTGTTTCAGCTGCTACCATATTCCTATGCTAGAAATGCATTTTAGAAACATCAAAGATTCTATTCTATGGCCTGAATAATTGATACCATTTAATAACACTACTTAGTTTGTATGTGAAAGACCACAGAATACAGGAACAGTAGATGTATGTTAAGCAGATTACATGCAATTTTATAAAGATATATGAAGTTGGATACTACCAGAGCTATTATCAGCACTTACTTTTATAGGCAGCGCTCCAGCAACAAATGCTCTTCCATATATCTTTGTCACTGTGCCACGCTCTGTTAAATTTATTGGGCTCAACTCTTTGACTGGCGACATCTGGACTACAACTTCACCACCTCCCTGAGGATAGTAGCCCCTATTTAGAAGCAGTAATCAGGTATAACTAAATGCAAAAATCACAAGGAAAGCAAGAAAAGAGCCAGAAGGCTCTGCATATATATCATTAGACATTTTTATGTTCTGTTACTGTACATACAAGTTTTGTTGATGTGTGCCTTAGAAATCTTTAGAATAGAATTAGGTTCTCTAATAGTATTACCTTATAACACACATCTTATTAACCACCTAACACCAACACAACTGGCACCTCAGAAAAAGCTCAGTAATGGAGTGCCTGTTCAGCATGCACTTCCCTCAGGGGTAGCACATGGGAAACGTTAAACAGCAGCTGAAGACTCAGCAATGAAAAAAAACAGGAGAAGAACCGTATCCCATTCATCATATGGTGACACTCCACACAGGGGTAACTAATGCTGTTCATGTATTATGAATTCATCCCTCAGCTTGATTCAGGGCACCTTGTGTGTGTGTGCTTCTGTGCTCACACACTAGGTCAGGAAGGCCTGCCTCTGACACGTCTCCATAACTCACCTCTTTTTTATGTCACAATTAAATGTGAAATTGAACTTTTCAACTATTGGCTTGAAAACCTGAAAAACAAGCATACATAAAAACATAGGGTGAATCTATTTTGCATTTACAATTTCCTACTATTTTATGCAGGCTTCCAAAAAAAAAAAAAAGTAGTTCAACACAAAAATTTCAGTTACATTATAAAAAAAACCCAACAGATAGCCACTCTCATCCATGCAGCTTATTTGACATTCCTCATACTTCATTCTGAATGACACTTTGTGTAAAATTATTTTCTTATGGAAAGAGGAAGATAAATTCTTAACAATTCACAGCACTTCTAGAATAAAGAATATATTTTAAGTGAAATTTTCTTTAGTAATTGAAAACACACAGACTAGTTGCTGTTTCGGGCAATTCCATGAAACACTGGTTGCTCTCTACACACAATATCACTAATCATGTAATATGCCTATGCCCAATTCCATAATAACAAAAAAACTTGCAGTAAGAGCAACAGAAGTGCAGTAGTTACATTGTGTATATATGCATGAAAGATGCACAAAGCCAAAGAAATTTTTCCCTACCATGACTGTGTAGTCTATCTGAGGAGCCATCTCAGCATTAGTCCCACCTTTTAAACGAAGTTCTGATGGGGAAGCAGCAAACAGCACACAGGGCATTGCTACCTGCATCAGTAGACACACACTCCTAAAAGCAATTATAAGATACTCAAATGTTTTGCAGTCATAATCCATATAATTCCATAGAATCATTACATATCAAAGGCAAATTCCTTTCCAAAGCATTTTTGTATTTGATTTTGAACATTATCTATAAAGTAAACTTATTAGTCTTAAAAAATACTAATTTACAACTTCATGTCCTTAGCAAGCCTAAATATGAAAGTTTTTGTTTCACGATAATTGTGTCTTTAATATTCCAGTTTGAAATAAAAGTAATGTAGCTTACTTAGTGTACTGATGGGACTGTGAAAACTGTAGGTTTAGCTAGCAGATGATAAAAGCAGAAAAGGCAGCAATTTTAAGATTTTAATGCTTACTTAATAACAAAATATTTAGAAAAGTACAAAATTGCTTAGAAGCTGGTCAGCATGCCACACAAGAAAATTCAGGGGCATAAAAAAAATACGCTTTTAAAGATAAGATTCCCCTATCATTGAATCTCTCCACATTTCATATATAATAAAAAACTTCCAAAATAAATTTTCCAAAAGTGAGTTTGTTCAGCAAAACAAAACATTTACCTCACAGGGGTTTCAAACATCATTTTGAATTGTGAAAACAGTAATCACCACTGAAGTGAAGAAAACATGGTTTTGTTCTCTTGAATAGCTTTCAAATGTTTGTGAACCATACGGTTTCTCTTTGTTTGTGCTTAATTACTAATTCTGCAGTATTGTTGCTTGCTCAAATCTTTCTGTGTTAAGTATAAGGCATCAGCTTGGTTGTTAATACTATTGAAGCTCAGAAAAATATTTCTCTTAAACTAAAGGAAACTTTAACTTATGCCTAACCTAGCTTATGCTTCCAAACAACTGTTCACACCAGCCTTCCATAGCTAACCCATTTACTTGGTTTTGCAACAGACTCCAAGAATAAATGACCCAACACAGAATCACAGGGTAGAAGAAACATAGGCACAAAGAACCATGGATAGAATATGTTCCGCTTTCCAAAAGACTAGTATCCCATATTGTACCATTACGTGCGTAAGTAAAACCTCAAAATTGGCTTTAATATATGATGAAGATTGTTCCATATCTCACGGGTTTCAGATACTTATATAATTTGATGCATTTGACCTGATATGTAATACACTGATGTGAGAAAATAGTGCATAAAGTTTTAAACACATGAGCAGCTGTTTTTTGCTTATCATTAATCAAGTGTTCAACTTACATATCCATCATAATTTTAAACTATTACACTTGCATGCACTTTATTCATACATATCTTGCCTACACTAAAGGTTCTTTGGTCACATATATCTGGCTCAGGCAGCACAGATTTTGGCTCATTACCCATGTATTAACGTTACTTCCCCCCCCTTGCTCTTCTGTGATAATTTTAAAGTTAACAAAACATCTTCTGTCATAATTTTAAAGTTACCCAAAGCAGTTAAGAGCAGTTACTGGTCAGTCATTATCCATGTACAAAGACATACCCTGCTGTTTTTGTATCTGCTATGTGGGTTCCACCTTTGATCTTCCCGGGAGTGAAGGTTATTTCTGTTGAGCCAATTTCTCCACCTTCCAGCTTCCCCTCACATAGATCCCGAATGATCTCCAATCCAGACAGATGCTGAGGCCTTGGAGTGACAATATGAAGTTAAATATACGTTCAGGTAGACTACATACTCATGTTACATTAAAAGAACTACTAAACACCAACTAATAAATACTAATTGCAAATTTCAGATCAAACAAGAATGAGAAATTCGGTCTGGTTCCTACAGTAATTCTCCTGAGTTCACATAAGGCAAAGGAGCTGCATTCAGATTACTCTGGAATTTGCAGGATTCTGGCGTGTTTTCCATTAGAATGGGTCCAGACAGACAGATGAGATGCAGGAGCAGTCGCTTGTCCTAACGTGATAAATGTTTGGACAAAACCATGATGGGGTAACAATGGCAATACTGAACTGGAGCCCAGCCAGTAGCTGGCTGCCAGAGCCACAAGAGAGCTAACAGGTTTGCCATGCATCCGTCTTGCTGTGCTTGCGTTTCCATTCCTCCAAGTAATTTCAACAGGAGAAACACGAACTGTTCTTAACGCTGTACACTCTGTGAACCATGTTTTGCTGAGGTTTGCTGATGTTTTACGTGACCTCAGCTGTATTTCATGTTTCATACCGCGCAGTCTGCTTAGCACCTTTGAAAACATTTGGGAGCCACCTGCCCCGGCAGCCGGCGGGGCCGGGGGCGGGAACGGCGCTGAGGGGAGAAGGCGAAGGAGTCTGAACCCCCCCGCGCCGGGCGGCCCCTTCATACCCTAGCTGTCCTCCGCGCTCAGCGGAGCGAGCCACAGACGGGATTTTCTGATGAAAAGGCCCTCTTAAAGCAATGGGAATCCAGGGGGTTTATTCTTTGGAAGCCTTTCAGACAAAAGCAAGCCAAGGCGTTTGCACAGCTACTCGCCCGGCCCGGGAGGGCCTCACACACGCCTCACCGTGACCGAGCGAGCGGACGC